CGCAGCAGCAGCAGCAGCAGCCGCAGCAGCAGCTGCTGCAGCAGCAGCAGATTGAACCAGGGCGGGAGAGAGCGGTTCTTGCAACAGCACCAACGGATGCTTCTGTAGAGGTCTCCTTATCAGCGGGGGTCCCAGCAGCAGCAGCACCTGCCTCTCCTGCTGCTGCTGCAGCAGGCGCAGCAGGTTCAGCAGCGGCTGCAGCAATAGAAGCATCGGCAGCAACTGCAGCAGCAGGAGCAGCGAAAGATGCTGCAGCCGACGAAAACAAACAAAAAGCACCGGTAGTGGAAGCAGCAAGCAAGCCCCCGTCCCAGACAACAGCAGCAGCAGCAGCAGCAGAAGCAGAAGCAGCACAAGCAGCAGCAAAAGCAGCAAGGGGATGTCCAAGGGCGGCAGCCGCAGAGCCCGAAACAGCTGCGGATGCTGTTGTAGGTGCAGCAGCAACAGCAGCAGCCCCAGCTACTGCTGGAGGCGCAGCAACAGCAACACGACGAGCAGCAGCTGCTGCTGGAGAAGCAGCAGCAACAGCACGACCAGCAGCAGCTGCTGCTGGAGGAGGGGGAAGAGAAGCAGCAGCAGCAAGACCAGGTGCTGCTGCACCTCCAGCAGCACCAGATGCAGCAGCTTCTGCTGCATGCAAGCAGAGGAGCGCCAGCAGAAAGGGTTTAATTGCTGCTCTGAGGGCTGCATTCCCCCACTGCCCCTTCGCGTCTCTCAGCTCTCCTGAGCAACCTCCTGCTGCTGCTGCTCCTGCTGCTCCTGCTGCTCCCGATCCTGCAGATAGTGATGTGGCTGCTGCTGCTACTGCTGCTGCTTCCGGACCTGCTGCTGCTGTTGCCGCTGCATCTGCTGACATGGAGACGGATTCTTCTGGGAAGGCTGCTCTGGACCCCTTTGATGCTGCTTCTGCTGCTGCTTCTGCTGCTGCTTCTGCTGCTGCTGGTGCCGCAGAAGCAACAGACGCTGCCGCTGCAGCTCCACATTTTGCTGCTCCCGTTGCTTCTGCTGCTGCTCACCGCTCACTCAAGCAGCAGCAGCAGCAGCAGCAGGATCAGCAGCAGCAGCAAACACTGGGAGGTTGCGAAGCCGACGAGCAGAAACGTCAAACACGGGCTGCAGCAACAGCAACAGCAGCAGCAGCAACAGAAGCAGCAGCAGCAGCAGCAAACGCAGCTGCCTCTGAAGGCCCCATGCCTATGGAAAGAAGCGGGGGCAGCTGCAGCACACGGGGGGAGAGCAGCAGCGACAGCAACAGAGACGCTCCTAGCTGCAGCGGCCCCGCTGCTGCTAATGCTGGTGCTGCTGCTGCTAATGCTGGTGCTGCTGCTGCTAATGCTGGTGCTGCTGCTGCTGGGGATGCTTCTACGGCTGCTGCTAACGACTGGCGAATAGAGTTAAGAAGGCGTAGACAGCAGAGAAGGCTGCCGCTTGAGGCCGCAGCAGCAGCTACAGCAAGTGCATCAACAGCAGCAGCAGCACCAGCAGCAGCGGCAAATACCGCAGCAGCAGCACGACCCAAGCAGCAGCGTGCTGCAGCACATCGACTGCGGTGCAGCAGCGCAGCCTCCGTGCAATCTCCTTTTAAGAGAGTCTCTCCTGCTGCTGCCTCTTCTGCTGCAGCAGTTCACCACAGCACGGGAGACTGGAGAGGGAGACGCATAGCAGCAGCCACAGGCGTACAACAGCAGCAGCAACAACAGCAACAGCAGCAGCAGCAGCAGCTGCTGCTGCTGCAGCTTCGTGAGACAAATGTTGATTCCTCCTGCAGTACGTGGCTATCTGCTGCTGCGGAGGAGGAGGACCCCGTTACTCTGGCAGCAGCAGCAGCAGCAACAGCAGCAGAAGCAACAGATGCAAGTGCAGCAGCAGCAGATGCACCAGAGGATCTTGCTGCTGCGCAGAGGCAGTGCGTGGACAGCAGCAGCAGCAACCGCAACAACAACAACAACAAGAGGCCTGAAGCCCTTGGCAGCAGCAGAAGCAGCAGCTACAGCAGCATCAACAGTGGGACGTGCAGCAGCAACGTGAGGCCCTCAACCAGAAAGGCGCAAAGCAGCAGCAGCTGCAGCAGCAGCAGCAGCAGCAGCGACTGCAGCAATGGCAGCAGAAGCAGCGGCAGCATCAGGAGCAGGCTTCTGTTAAGGAGTGCTCACAGCACGAGCAGCAACTGTAGCAGCACTAGTAACCATAACATCAGCAGCGGCAACAGCAGCAGCTGCAGCAGCAGCAAAACAAATGTACAAGTTTTGCTGCGCCGCCTTGCTGCTGCACAGGGGCCCCGACGGGGGCCCCCCGCCGGCAGCAATTCTTCCCTGGATATGCAGCAGCTTATCAGCGCTGTCACGAGTGCAGGTGAAGACTCTCAAGGCGATGCTGCTGCTGCATCTGCTGCTGCTGCTGCTGCTGCGGATTGGGATGAGGCCGCTGCTGCTGCGACCTTGCCTGGTGCTGATGCTGATGCTGATGCTGATGGTGCTGTTGCTGCTGCTGCTGCTACTCGACAGAGAAGGCGGTGCAGCAATCTGCAAGCTATGTACACGCAACAGCAGCGCGAGCCTTCTCCTTCCACTCGGGGGCAGCAGCAGCAGCAGCAGCAGCAGCAACGGCAAAAACAGCAACAACAGCAACAGCACGAACTCCACGAGCTGCAGCAGCGGCGACTCCAAACTCTCCTGCAGCAGCAGAAGCAAAAGCTGCAGCATGCGCAGCAGCAGCAACGGCAGCACGACGAGGGGCAGCAGCAACTGTGGAACTGTGGATATGACAGCAGCAACAGCAGCAGCAGCAATGGCACAGGCAGCAGCAGCAGCAGCGGCAGCAGAAAAGACAGCAGCAGCAGCAGCAGCAGAGGCAGAGGCAAAGGCAGCAGCAACAGCAGCAGAAGGAGGCACCTGAAGAGACAGCAGGCGCGCGTGCGGCTTCTCGCAGCCTCCTTGGAAGGCTGCAGCAGCAGCAGCAGCAAGACGGAGCAGCAGCAGCAGCAGCAGCAGCAGCAGTGCCAGTTCTGGCACCATAGAGCTCACCCAAAGTTCTTGAAAGACATTCAGCTGCAGCAGAAGCAGAAGCAGCAGCAGCAACAGCAGCCGCAGCGGCAGCAGCAGTTTCTGTTGCAGCAAGAACCTCTTGACGCTCCCCTTCACCAGCAAAGGAAGCTCTTATACTTAAACAGGGCCTCGACAATCAGGCAGCAGCGGCAGCAGAAGGAGCAGCAGCTACAGCAGCAGCTGCTGCAGCAGCAACAGCAGCAGAAGCAAACGGGCTGGGGGAGGCCCCGCGCTGGAGCTGCTGCTGCCTTCGGTCTTCTTGAGGCTGCAGCTGCTGCTGTAATATCCGACTGGCAAGAAGAAGAAGCAGCAGCAGCAGCAACAGAAGCAGCAGCAGCAGCAGCGGGAGCAGCAGAAAAACGAGAGTCAACAACAACACCAGCAGCAGCAACAGCAGGAGCAACAGCAGCAGCAACGCATGGCGCAGCAAATCCCTTTCGTCGTGCTGCTTCTCACAACTTCGTTGCTGCTGATGCTGCTGCCTCTGCCGTTGACCGTCGGGGTATGATGCAGCAGCAGCAGCAACAGCTGCAGCAGCAGGTGCATCAGTTGCAGCAGCACCAGCGGATGCGGCGGCAGCAAAGTCAGCGACTGCTGCGACTGGAGCAGCAGGAGCCTGAGCAGCAGCAGCAGCAGCATCAGCAGCGTACTGCTGCTTCTTCTTGCTGCTTCTCTGCATCGTCTTCTTTCTCCTGCACTCCTGCTTGTCTCTCAGTTTTGCTGCAGCAGCAACTGAAGCCTCCACAGCCCAAAGTAGGGGCCCCCTCTTTGCTGCTGCCGAGCCGCCGCAGGCCCCGTTCAACCAGCAGCAGCAGCAGCAGCAGCAGCAGTAGGAGTAGTTGTAGCAGCAGCAGCAGTGAAGACCGCAAGCGCCGCAGGAGTCGCCGCAACAGCAGGAGCAGCAGGAGACAGAGCTTCAAGCGGCAGCAAACTCACAGACTGAGGAGACACTTAGCAGCAGGGGGACCCGTTGCTAGTGCAAGCAGCAGCAGCAGCAGCAGCAGCAGCAGCAACAACAACAACAACTTCCTTGTTTGCCGTGAGGTGGTGAAGGATTTATGCGAAGAAGTTATGAGGGAAGTCCTGCCGGGGCTGCTGCAGCAGGCTGCTAGTGCTGCTGCTAGTGCTGCTGCTGCTGCTGCTATTGCTGCTGTGACTCAGACAAGCGCAGCAAGAACAGGCCAAAGAGATTATCCTCCAGCAGCAACTGCAGCAACAGATGGTGCAGCAGCAGATGCAGCAGATGAAGCAGCACCAGCGGCGACGGAACAGCAGGAGGCATCAGCTCTTGCTGCTGCTGCTGCAGGTGCTGTCGCTGCAGGTGCTGCCGATGCTTGGGATGAAGAAAGCAAGCAGCAGCACCTGCAGCAGCAGCTTCAGCAGCAGCAACAGCAGCAGCAACAGCAGCAGCAGCAGCAGCAACATCTGAAACAGAGGTATCTGCAGCAAACGCAGAAGCACCAGCAGCAGGAGCAGGAGGAGGATGAGGGGCAGCTGGAGCAGCAGCAAGAGCAGCAGCTTTTGCTGCTGCAAGAGCTGGAGCAAGAGGTGCAGCAGCAGCCGGGCCCCTGCTCGCGGCTGCTTTCTCCCCTGGTTATTTTATCTGAAGATGATTCGCCGCTGCAGCAGCAGCAACAACAACAGCAGCAGCGGCACCAGCAGCAGCAGCAATGGCAGCAGCTGCAACAGCAGCAGCAACGACACCAGCAGCAGCAAGGACAGAAACACCAGCTGCTGCTGCGGCAGCCGCAGCAAAAGCAGCGGACGCAACGAGAATACCAGCAGCAGCAGCACCCGAAGCAAAAGCAGCTGCAGCAGCGGCAGCAGCATGAGAAGCAGAAACAGCTGCAGCACCAGCAACGGCAACAAACAAGAAAACAGCAGCAGCAGCAGCAGCAGCAGCAAGAGGAGGAGCAGCAGCACTTTTATCCTTATGCAATAAAGAGCGAATTTGAA